ACAGCTGAGCAACCTGCTGTGAGATGAGCCATGTCCTCTTCTTAGCTGCTCACCTGCCACCTCCTGTGGGAGGTTTCACCTTCTCTCTCCTGTGATGGCACCAGTAAAATCCATCTCTTCTGTGGGAGGTTTCACCCCTCCTCTCCTGTGATGGCACCTGTAAGGCCCAGCTCTCCAAAAGCCATTTTTGTGCAAGCCCATTCCTGATACAAAGCCCACACCAAGCAACAGCAACGCCTTTACCAGTGTTGAGCAGTCCTGCTGGTCCTTGCATTTCCAAGCTGGGGCAGCACTGGGACTTTGTCCCTTTGTTCTTCCCACCTCTCCCATGTCTGCAGCATTCCTGCTCCATGGACTATTCAGGACATGCTGCAAAGCAGGGACCTTTTACAGCAAAGATGCCCTTGCCAGCTAAGCCTGCTCATGAATTCTGGCTGTACTCTGGGAGCCAGGGCCAGAATTTAGATTGGACTGGCTCCATTTGCATTGGTGCATATTTTTTTTTCTTGTTTTGCTTTATTTTTTTGAGCACTGAACACTGGGACCAGCAGCTCTGAACAATCCAAGTGATATCACCTTCCAGTGAGTCATGGGGAGGGCAGGGTGGAGAAGGGCAGGCGAGGAGAGATCATGAGATTGTGTCAGCTCAAACAACCTAAAAAAATGGGAAATGTGTTTGGATTCAAGGAGGGCAGATTGCATCCACTGCCACCCACCACAGAGCGTCACAGTTTTGGGAATTATGCCCATTATGGTTCCAGAGATTTTTACCTGCCTGCTTTTCCCCAAATATGAGCATTAACAAGTAACAAAAATAAAAAAATTAACAAGTAACACATTACCAAGCAACAATAAAAAAAAAAAAAATTTAAAATGGTATGAGCACATACTTTATTGGCTCAACTTCTACATCACCAGAAAACTGAAGTTCAATTTTCAAATCATATTTAGTCTATAACTTCAGTCACTTTGCAAGCTGCAAGCAGGCTTTTCCTGAGCTCACCTACAGCCTTCTTAATTTCTGAATGGTCCTGAAGACAATTATTTAGGATTACAACAGGAATTATTTAGGGTTACAACAGGACATACTGCCCTTGCCCTGACCCAGCTCTGTCAGATTCAGATCTTGCAAGATGTGGGATAAACTTTTTATAAAATGATGGAAGGAATAAAATCCCCAGATGGACTGTTTAGACCTCAGCATTATTTTTTATTATAAATCCTGATGGTTGTCCCTAAGGTGGATGTCACCAACCCCTACTATCTCACCCATTGAGGTGTTGAGCTGGATGCCCATGAGAGGAGCCCAGAGGGCTCATTTTGAGTGCTCAGCAAAAGTTCCTCTTTAAACTAGACCAGGTTTCCTATTGGATTGTGACACAGATCCTATAGAAATCATGTTTCCTGTTCTTATATTTTGCCTGGTACTGCCCTTGATGCTTTGGGGGCCAGATCACCAAAAATTGCTTTTACACCGAGATAACAGACTGAAGTGCTGGTGCTTCACTCTGTGTTGCTATTCCTGATCTTTTATTCACATTTCTTGACCTTGGACACATACTTCTGTGTTTCCTGAGTCCATCACTCAGTACTGACTTTCACTTATTTATATAGAAAATGTCACAAAGCCCAGCCCCAAACCCCTCAAAGTGTTGTTGCATATTTGAGTACATTAAAGCAAGAGCTGATTTATTAGATTTTTTTACTCCTTCCTTAAAAAAAAACTCTCAAATCCTCATATGTTCAGCCTCCCAGCGCCCATCAGATTCTGATGCTCCAGCATGTGCAGAGGAGCTGTTCTGGGGATTCCCTGCCCGGTTCTGTTCATCCCAGGGTGAGGGAATGAGGGAACTGTGGCTGCACTCAGGACACGTCCCTTCGAGGGGCATGCTAATTTGCATGGTAATGAGGATGCTAATGAGCCCCTTGTCTTCATATGTACACAAGGTTCTCGCTGGGTGAAAACCAGCCAGAGTTGAAATTCAGAGAATTCACAGCTTCTTTTCCTTTTCAATTCGTGTTTTCTATCTGGATGCAAAAGACAAAGCACATAGTACAGGAACTGCATTGTGCCCTGAAGTGCTAAACACCAGATAGAAATTATTATTTTAGCAACCATCAGGCTGTTTAGGCAAGCACCAATCTCTTAAGTAGCCTGGCTCAAGCAGTAATTACCAGCTGAATTTAAAAAGAGACCCTTCTTTTATTTGCTTTGTTACCATAGTTTTTTGTTTTCTTTTCCTCTCTCTTGAAGCTAAGAAAACAAAATGCTCCACAGAGCTGCAGCTCCTCTGAGAACCCAGAGCACATTGCAAACAGGGTTCACAGCATCACTGTGGGGAGTTCCTGGTCATTAACCCTTTCTCTGTGGCGAAACTGAGGCAGGAAACCTCTCCCTGGCAAGGGAATAAGCAGGGTTGCATGTTCAGTGAAGTCCTTCATCTTCCCAGGTCCCATTTCCTGGCACATCCATGGTTCCTGTAGGTCCAGAGGGGTGGGATGGGGGCACAGTGAAAAAGGGAGAAGGTACAGCCATGGTGGGGTGAAGACTGGAGATGTTGTGTGGAAGGCAAAGGGGGATGGCCCCAGCAGCAGTGGGGTGGTTCAGAGCTCCTGGCTGTCACTCAGGGTGGGGTTAAATTCAAAACTGGTGATTCCAACAGCCCACCTGGAAATCTCAGCATTGTCCCCAGGAGAATAAACTCCTTTTATCTGGAACAACCAAGGTGGGGTCACTGCCCACAGAACTGAGCCCTGTGTTAAGGGAGCTGACAGGGAAGGCGGAGAGAGATTATTTATGGGGGCATGGAGAGACAGGATAAGGGGGAATGGCTTCAGACTGACAGAGGGCAGGGTTGGATGGGATATTGGGAATAAATTCTTCCCTATGAGGATGGTGAGCCCTGGCCCAGGGTGCCCCAAGAAGCTGTGGCTGCCCCTGGATCCCTGGCAGTGTCCAAGGCCAGGCTGGACAGGGCTTGGAGCAACCTGGGACAGTGGAAGATGTCCCTGCCCATGGCAAGGGGTTTGGGACAAGACGATCTTTCAGATCCCTTCCAACCCAACCCATTGCTCCATTCAAAGCCACCACCAGCAGCTGCTCATTCAGCTGCAAATGCCTGCATTTCAAGGAAGGCCCTGAGTCTTCCCAGCACAGAGATGTCAGTCTTGCTCACTGTCCTCATTCCATGCCCCCTTCAGCACACACTGACAGCCAGCCTGAGCTCCTGCCTGCCTTGGGTGGGCCTTCAGCAGATATTTAATCTGCTTTGCCTGCCCACAATGCTGGGATGTGTCTGTGTTCTCCCACATAGCCGTGGTGGAGCTGCCTACGTACCTAATGTTGAGTCTGGCTGAAATTTCTCCACTTTTTAGGGATGGGTGTACAAAAGCTTTGCTGGAACCAGTACTCTGAGCTTCCTGGAGAATGGTTTTCCTCCAGCAAACAGCCTGGGGAGATTTTATGTAGTGTCAGTCATGAATTTCTGGCTCCTGGCACCTGTTTTACTGTTTTGACACCAGGCTTAGGAGCGCCGGGGAAAATAATAATGATATTTGGAGTTAATGTTATTTACTAAAATACAAATCAACGCTCAGTCACATGGTGGCATGATTTGTCATCTGGAGCTAAAATTAAAAGAAATTAAGGCTGAGTCAGAAAGTTATTTCAGATCCAAGTGGGGAATGCTGTTCTGAGGCCATGTGGGAGCAACACTGACATCTTCTGGCTCAAAAAAAATATATCTCCAGCTTTTTCACTGAGAAAAACACCGGGAAAATCTGCAAAAAACCTAAGAAGGGACAGAGTGGACAAAAGTGTTTTAAAGTATCAAGGACAAGCTTTGGGGCAGTGGATATTGTCTGAGCCAATTTAACAACCTCCCTTAGCATCACCACAGAATCTGAACAGAGGGTGTGTGACACTGATGACCCAAAATAGACACGAGGAGGAGGTGAAGGGGTGCTGCTTTTCTCTCAGTGCAGGTGACAGGGCTGTGGCCATACTTTTATGCTGAAGTCCATAAGTCTGGAGGCAGTAAATTACCTGGAAGTCACATTCCACTAGGCCAGGTTGCTCCAAACCCCATCCAACCTGGCCTTGGACAGTTCCAAGGGTGAGGAGACACAATTTCTCTGGAAAACATATTCCAGGGTCTCACCACCACCACACCATCAGCCTTTTCTACACATGTCCCCTCTTCCAGACTGGATTAACCACCAGCTTTGTGACTGACACTACATAAAAGCTCCCTGGGCTGTTTGCTGGAGGAAAATCATCCTCCAGGAAGCTCAGAGAACTGGTTTCTGTGACCATGTTCACAGGGGTCTTAGGATGAGGAAAAAGACGAGGATCTGACTCCATGTTTCAAAAGGTCTGATTTATTATTTTATTATATATATTATATTAAAACTATACTAAAACAATAGAAAAAAGGATTTCATCAGAAGGCTAGCTAAGAATAGAATAGCAAAGAATGATAACAGAGGCTTGTGGCTCTGACTCTCTGTCCAAGTCAGCTGGACTGTGACAAATGTCCCACATGGGCCAATCACAGATGCACCTGTTGCATTCCACAGCAGCAGATAATCAATGTTTACATTTTGTTCCTGAGGCTTCTCAGCTTCTCAGGAGGAAAAATCCTAAGGAAAGGATTTTTCATAAATGATGTCTGTGACAGGTTCCAGCCAAAGCCTGGCTATAACTTCCCAAGAAAACTCCTTGTCAACTTCATTGTCAACCCACAACACTTTATCGCCTTACTCCATTGCATCCTTCCACTCTCTCTAATCACGTTCCTTTCAATCTCTCCCAAGGCTCTTTCTTCTGGAGGAAAACCATCCTCCAGGAAGCTCAGAGAACTGAGCAAAGTGGTCCCAGCAAAGCCTGGCTATAACTTCCCAAGAAAACTCACCTCCTTGTCAACCCATGATACCTTATCGCGTTACTCCGCCACATCCTTCCACTCTCTCTAACCATGTTCCTTTCAATCTCTCCCAAGGCTCTTTCTTCCCGTCCCTGAAGCCCTCAGAAATCGTCTTCAAGATCATCTTCTGGCTGGGATACTTCAACAGCTGCGTGAACCCCATCATCTACCCGTGCTCCAGCAAGGAGTTCAAGCGCGCGTTCATCCGGCTGCTCAAGTGCCAGTGCCGCCGGCGGCGCCGGCCCATCTGGAGGGTCTACGACCACCACTGGAGAGGGGCCTCCATCAACAGCTCAGTGCAGGACTCAGAGACTGACCTACGGCCCAGGATTAACACCCTGAACAGCTCCTTCATATTTAACTCCTCCTTCCAGGAGAGGGGCAGTAAGAGGCGAACGCTCAGCTTCAAGGGCTGGAAGATGCTGACGCCTTTCCAGAAGCCGGCGTCCACCCAGCTGAAGGAGAAGATGAACAGCCTTTCCAACAAAATCCGGGGGGGATCCAGCAAAGGGGCGGCCACAGCCACCTACAAGACAGAGGTGGAGTCTGTCTCGATTGGGATCCCTCATGATTTCACAGAAACCATCGACTACCAAACCCATGACTTAACAGACTGCTGTGGGCTGAGAGAAACAGATATTTGAGGCCTCTGGGGCAGCTGTCGATGGTTTCTTTAGAGGTATCCAGAAGAAACATGGAGGGATACCACCTGTGGGTCTGTCAGGCAGGCTGGAAGCAGCGGTCAGGTATTAAATGCAGTTGCCCAAAGGTTGTCCAAGCATCCCCCACGTGGAGCTCAGCCCCTTCTGTGGGGTTGTGGGTTCCTCAAATTAGAGCCAATGGCATATCCCATTCTAACAAGCCACAGCAGGAGGAGAAGGTGTGGATATGACCTTAGGGCAAGAGCTGTCTCCTCTGGTGGATGGCTGTCTTTGGCTTTGGAAGAAGCTGTGCAATTAAAGGAAACCAGGATGTCTCCTTTGCCTTAAAAACACCACAGTGAAACCTAATGGAAAGGTTGAATCCCAAAAGTTGCCAACCCTGCCTTAGTACATGTGGTCATGTCTCCATCCAGAGGCAGCAGCCAGGAAGGGCCCTGCCAAGCAGGAGCTGGCAGCTGATCCTTTATGTGGGTGGGTTGGGATCCTGGAGGTCCTGAATGGGACATCCAGACGAGGCCTTGGCTTTGGAAGGAGAGCAGACTGGGGTGTTCCCAAGCAAGGTGGAGGGATCCCAGCTCTCAGTCATCATCTCTGCAGTGGCCACAGCTTTGGCCCTCCCACATCACCTGGTTTTAGGCCAGAGGAGTATTCCAGATGTGTGCACTGTTGCCAGGGGGTGTGCAGGTCTCTCTCCTCTAATTCCATCCTGTGAAGCATTTTGCATTTCATTTTCCAGTGAAACACTTGCAACCCACCTTGCTTTAGTGAACATCCATCTGTGACACACAGAGAAACCAGCTCCTTTTGGTGTCAGTCACCCCAAAACCTTCCTGTCCCCTTCTTTGCTCTCGTTGTTTTTCTCAAAAAACGCAGGATAAAAAAATGCATCCCAGAGGCTTCACTCAGGACAACAGGAAACAGCCTCAGGTTGTGCCAGGGAAGATTGAGGCAGGATATTAGGAAGAATTTCTTCACTCAAAGGGTGGCCAGGCACTGGACCAGGCTTCCCAGGGCAGTGGTGGACTCACCATCCCTGGAAGCGTTCAAAAGACTGCAAATGTGGCCCTGGAGGAGGTGGTTTGATGGTGAATGGGTGGTGCTGGGTTGATGGTTGGATTCCAAGAGGTCTTTTCCAACCATAATGATTCTGTGATTCTGTGATGAGTGTCCTCAGCCAGCCTGTGATGTGGCTCAGGAAAGGTGGGATGGCTGAGTTGGGAAGTTTGCATTTCCACTGCCCATAGAGTCCAAGCTGAAGTGGAGCTGAGGTGCAGCTGGAGCTCCCTAAAGGAGAGGGATCCTCTCCCCAGTCAGGGTCACACTCGTGATCCTTCTCCCAAGGGAATTCCCACATGCTTCATGCATCCAACTTCTGGTGGTTGCCAACAATGGCCTTGGTTGTGTTTAAGTAATGACAATTAAAGTGGGTTTTTCCCTGTGTGAACACTCCTCAGGAGGGCACCACGGCCTCTTCCAGGAGACTCCAGGAGCTGAAGCCATGGCAAGCCGACCTTGACCAGGCAGCTCAGGACATGGTCACCCAAACTCTGCTTGGCCGTGGATTGCAGGCACTGGTTCCAAAATTCAGAGTGGTTTAATCAAAATTCAGACAATGAGCCCCAAGGAGGAACCATCAGGTTGAGCCGTGAGCAGGAGACATGTGGGTGATGGAGGCAGAGGAGGGATCTGAGGGGAAATGCCTCAAGCCAGGGAACTGAAGAACAGGAATGGGAAGTTCTGAGGGGTGGAAACATGGCACTGAACGTGTCCTGGGTGGAAACTGCTCCACACCAGCACTGCGCCTCAAACCCTTTCATGGAAGTGCCTGCAGCACATCCAGCTCATCCCACTAAAGGTGGGAAGATTACAGGCTGCCAGGCACAGCAAGGAGAATGTCACCTTTCTTTCTGATGTTCTAATTTGCATTAAATGAAAACAGAACAGGAGGCAAGTTGGAATTTTTTTTTTTTGTTTTTTAACTCTTTTGTGGAGTGCATATTGGGACAAGATTTCTGGAGTTGGCCCTGTCTCAACACCCTTTACTTGATGCAGGACAAACTGGACCAATTATTGCACAAATACCAGCAGATTTTGTCCAGATATTTTCCTCCCAGCAGCAAATCCCAGCACTTACACTGAACTCAGACTCACAACCACCTGCATGTTCTCCAGCTCTGCAAAACCAGCCTGATGTTGCAAGCTCTGTGGGGAAATAAAATGGGAAGAAATGGGAACTTCTGTGGGGAAATAATTTTTTTCCCCTGCTAATTGGCTTTGAAGGGAATTGAGACCTTACAGTGATGATGGGATGGCACAAAAAGTCATTTTTTAGTGTGAGGACTGCAGCTGCCACTGTTTTCCTGGGTGTTTTTGGGATCTTGATGGGAAGCACTGGGGATGTGGCAGAGAAGGGAGCAGGGAGAGGATACCCATGACCAGACAGACAGACAGACACACTTCACTGTGTTTATATAAATGTGTCATTCCCAAAATACCAGGCATTCTCCTACGAATGGGCAAACATCCCTCTATAAATGAACATTTAGCAAATGCTGGCAAGCAGTGCATTCCCATAAATGAGCTGGTATTACTGCTTACACTTCTCCCTGATCTTTTCAATATACTTTTTCCTTTTTTTTTCCCCAGTATTGAAATATTTCTATTTACAGCCTCCAGCTCCTTGAAAGCTTTTTGAGAAGGAAAAAAGGATTAGTCTGGAGGTTTGCTGCCTGTCCATCCCAAGTCTTTGCAGACCTACAAGGGAGAAAATAAAGTCAGTTTAAGCACACACATGGCACACACACACACACGAATGCCCAAATTCTGGCTCAGTTACTCACTGTAATTGATCTGGCCCCAAGAGATGCCCTGGAAGGAGCTGCAGGAAAGCCTTGAGCTCTGCTGTGCTGCATTCAGGCAAAATTCTTGGTTTTCACCCTGCTTTCATTTGGCATCTTGCATCAGAAGCAGTGCCAGGACTGGACTCTGAGGCTGCTCATGCAGAGCTTCCTTTGGAGGAGACAGGGCTGTCTTTGCTGGCAGGGAGGAAGGAAAATCTTGTATGAAATATGACCTGAGTGTCTGGAATTGAGCATTTCTCCTCGAATCCCCTGATTTCCAAGCTCTCCAAAGTTTGGACAAAGGGGCTCAGACTTTCAGGAGGTAAATTCAGTCCAATCCCACAGATTTCCCTGGATCCACAAGGGTGTGACCAGCTGAGGGAATGGCCCTGTTCCAGGAGGTTTTCCAGGCAGGCCATTTATTTTCCAAAGCCCCTGCACCTCAGTTATCCATCAGATCCCACCTCATTGCACTGGCTCTGTGTCACAGTTGCATTCCCAGACCTTGCTGCTCCAAGAAACCAAGGGTTGGGGGTGGAAAATGAGATTTTGTGTCACTGGACTCTCCCAGGTCCACGAGGGAAGGAAGGTCCCTGTCAGCCTGAGCTGGGCTGCAGCTGGGTTGCATTACTATTGTTTACAGTGTGTATATAAGTGTACATTTTCTTTAGCAGAACGTTGGAATTTTTTATGTATAGATTTTTATTTTTCATCCCCAGATGTATTTATTAGCCGGAGTAATTCTGTTTTGTGTTTCAGGTTTCTGCCAGATTGATGTAAGCTCTATGAAACAGAATGCACATATTTTTGTTTGTTTGTACCAAATACATGCACAAACCTGTCTAAAACGTTACTGTAAATTGTTGCTGTGTCTGATTTTTAAAACAAGGGTTATAGAGGATGAAGGAGGGAGGAAGAAAAGCCTGGAAATTATCCACTCTTGCTTATTTCTCTAAGACATTTTTTTTATTTTTGCAATTTCACAGGGATAATCTTTCCCACTTGGAAGAATTAATGATAAAAGCAAGTCAGGAGAGGACACTCTCAGTTTCTTGACACACAGGCATGAAGAGATTGCACCAGCCACATCTAGAGAGCAGGTTTGGATTAGATATTACGAAAAAATTCTTCCCAGGCTTTCTGGTGAGGCCCTGGCACAGGGTGCCCAGAGCAGCTGTGGCTGCCCCTGGATCCTTGAAAGTGCCCAAGGCCAGACTGGATGGGGCTTGGAGCAACGTGGGACAGTAGAAGGTGTCCCTGCCCATGGCAGGGGTGGAATGAGATGAGCTTTAAGGTCCCTTCTCACCCAAACCATTCTGGGATTCTTATTTATATGATGCATATCTGAGATTGGAAAGGGAAAGGCAAAAGGTAAAATCAAAAGGAGATCTAGCATGAAAACACTGGATCAATAGTTGATAGCAGCCAGAGGTGAAAATTATTTGGGGGAAGAAATGGAGACTGGAAGATATTGGAAATGACCTTGAAAATATCTTTGCACCTCTGAATATGTGTAATTTGACTCCTGTTTGCTTTTGGGATCGTTCAGTTCAAAAAGGGTAGAATGGACTTAGAATGGACCAAAGCTACAGGACAGTCTCCATCCAGGGAACATTTAAATCAAATGGCACTCTGATGACTGAGAATCATCCAGGTCTGTAAAACCAGCAGTGCTGGGGAGAAGACAAGCAGTGAGTGAGTGTTCACTGCCTCTCCTGGTACAAGAACTAAGTGACATCAAACCCAATTATCAAAATGAACCCAGTGAGCCAGGTAATTCTTCTCATGGCTCATTTTTGAAAGGGGGAACTCATCACCACGAGATATTGCATCTGTCTGTAGGGGTTAGAGCAGCAATTAGGTGCCTTGGTGACAGATAAACCCATCAAGGGCAGTTGGAAACGTTCATATAATCTCTGAGCTGAGAAACCCCTGAGGCAGCAATTGCTGTCAGCTGGGAGGATATTTCAAGGGATATTTCACTGCTGGCTTTTTTTTTTTTCCCCTCTATCCCTTCTGAATTTCAGAATTCAGAGAGGGGACCCAGAATGAGCCAGGCTCTGGGAAGGTCCAGCCCTGTCTGTGTCCCTTCCCTCTGCACATTGGCAGCCCATCCATGCCAAAATTCCACCCTGCACTTCCTGCCCAGAGGCAAAAATGAGGGGGGAAAATGGAAAACTCAAGTTTAGTCCCAAAAAATGGAAACCTCAAGTTTAGTCCCAAAAAAATGGAAAACCCAAAGTTTAGTCCCCATCACATCATCAAGGTCAGAAGTTTTTGCCATCCTTGTGTGCCAGTTCCTGCTGGGAAATTTCTTTTGCCGCTCAGAAACTGAAAACCAGCCCCTCAATAAACAGACTTTTACAATCTTTTTGCAGGACAGGGATTTTAGCTGGGACTGGGAGATGCCCCAGAAGTTTCCCAAGAAACTTCAACCATCCTGGGCAAAGGTTTGTGGTATTTTCTGGGACCCCCATTGGTGGAAGGAATGATGAATCTGACTCCATGTTCTTAGAAGGTTAATTTCTAATTTTATGATACTATATTATATAAAAGAATACTATCCTAAACTATACTAAAGAATACAGAAAAGACACTTACAGAAGGCTAAAAAGATAATAATGAAAACTCCTGACTCTTTCCAGAGTCTAGCACAGCCTAACTGTGATTGGTCATTAAATATAAACAATTCACATGAAACCAATGGAACAATCACCTGTGGGTAAACAATCTCCAAACACATTCCACATAAGCACAACACAGGAGAAGAAAATGAGATAATATTGTTTTCTTTTTTCTCTGAGGCTTCTCAGCTTCCCAGAAGAAGACCCTGGGCAAAGGGATTTTTCAGAAAATGTGAATGTGGCAAAGGTTCCCTTTTT